GGCCTCCTCTCTGACAATGTTTAAAACCAGGTTAAAGTCTGTTTAACTGTGCATACAACTGAGGGATTTTATATTTTTATCTTTCTTTTTAATGTTCTGTGATAATTTATGATTTTAATGCTTTCTTGTTTTGTTCAGCACTTTGAATTGCCTTGTGTATGAATTGTGCTATATAAATAAACTTGCCTTGCCTTGCCTTGCCTTACATAAGGAGCGAATGCATTTTTTAGGACCAACGTGAGTGATCAGGTAGTCTTCGAGAATCCGTTGGAAAATGTCTTCATACTAGACCACAACTAAGATTCTTAATAAAATCTTATCAACACCCAAACCTAAAATAATTTTAAAAAATGACAAAATAAATACGAGATAATTAATGTACTAATAGACAGAGTCCCCATTTCCACATACTGTACCTCCATCCTCAGTGGTGGTATTAACCATGGCCTTGGTTGTATTATGTGCCCCATTAGACACATGTAACGAGACAGAATACATGGTACTAGGCCATAGGTCATTTATCACTGCAGATGTGATGTTGGCAGGAAAAATGTACATTTCACTAAATCCTTTAGAGTTGACTTCAACAAAGTATGATTCAACTTCTCCCTGGAGATTCTGTAGAGCTAAAAATAAGTAATGACATCAAAATTATTATTTTTTTCTTAAAGCAAGCATGATATTCAGCCAGAAAAGAGTTTGCTTACACGGTTGTGTCCAGTTAATATATATTGTGGTATGATTGATGGGGAAAGCTGACAGAGATGGAGGATAGCGGGGAATTCCTGCCATTGTTGTTGCAGTAAAAATAGCTCCTGAAGAGTTGCCAACATCATTATACACCCATAACTGGTACTGGTACTGGGTAAATCTGAAAAAGGATAAAAACTTTTAATTTACACAGAAATTGCAAAAAATATTGCAAATTTGTTTTTTTAAAGAGTCAATTGCATTAATTAAAAATGGCTAATTCTACTACAGTCTTCCAGAGCTAATACTAGAAACACCAATTTACAAACTTTAAGCAGAAATTGCACCCAAAGCTGTTTCGCAAGCATGGAGAGAGACAAAAAAAACTGCTTCCACCAAGTGAAAAACTGAGATTAGGGGGACGCTGTGTGAAAAACAATTTAATTCTTTGGGATATTTGCTTAATGTATCTTTGAGCGGTATTAAAAGATCGGCATCAGCAGAAGCTCGCCGATCGGCTCTGCACACATGGTTTGCTGCAGTGCCGTCGTTTGCTCTAGAGCTCATTTCAGTAATCTCACCTGCTTAGGCCTTTATCTTGGTAGAACAATTTGGTGCCAGAGTAAACATGGAACCAGTGATGGAGATCTTCAGTTGAGGAATGGGGTGCTTCTCCCTGTGTGGGGTTTGTTGGAAGGCCCAGGGGTTGTAAGGTTTTCCGTCTGAGCAACGTGTACCTGCAGGAAAATTTGAATAACCCAAAAAATAAGCAATTGCATCAATGAACGTAGAGGAAGGCATTAGCAAATTTGTATACAGATGGTTAAATTTTGTGCATAGCAAGTCAACATTCGCACAGCTATGATTTGACTTCTTTGTCTATAAATTCCCTCTCTTCTGTTTTGCATCTTGTCTCTTCCTCTCTATACCGTCTCACTATTTTTGTGTGCATAGTTTGTGTTTTCCTCTCCCCACAGTAATGCTAATTTTTGCTGTAATCAGAAGAGAGGGGCTTAATGTCGCCATTTAACCAACCCACTTAGACAAACATACTGAGCTGGACAGAGCAGAACAGAGACAAGCTCATGCATTTTAATCATTTGCCAGGAAAATAGGTCTTTATTTTAGGCCTAATCACCTTTAGAGAAGACCAGACCAATAATATAATAGTCTACAATATGCATTAAGAGTAAACAGATAAAGATTTGCATTACCAGGGGACTTGTCAAGTTATAATGTACTTGCAATGTACTGGTTTTTCAGATTAAATGTTTTAGAAAATTTCAATGCAACTAGTCAGTCACATTAAGTTCACCAGACTTTTCCAGGGGCCTGCAACCCAGATCGTATAACTGTTTTGACTGTTCTGAGCTTTAAAATTAGGTATGACATGTCCATATAGACTCACGTTTGACAAAATTGGCTGAATGGTAAATGTTTACCATGTCACATTAGTGCCAATTACAAAAAAAACTTACGCAATCAAAGAGAAATATCAGTTTATACAAATAAAGTCAACAGCTGAATTCAAGAGCTTTCCAACAAGGTATAGCATGCCTATGTTGGCAGTGCTGAAGTTAGCTAGATGACACTGTGAGGTTGTATTTATGATCTCAAAGATGAATGTGGGTTAAAAAGGCACAGGGCCACTTAAAATGACACAGAGGTCCGGATTTGTCCCACGGGCCTGAGTTGGAATAGGTTTAGGCATGGTTGACTAGTATTTATGGACCATGGAATAGACAATGTACAAACAATTTACTGTCAGCCACAAAGATAACAAAGTGATACCAAGAGTCAAGACCAGTGTTCCCCAACTTTTTTGAGACATAGAACAACTATTTTATTGAAGACATCAGTCATAGTTGTTTCTTCAACAGCAAAAAATTGTTTCTTTTGACCAATTAGGACAATTGTTTTCAAGATGGCGCCTGGAACGGTCGCCACGGATTTTTGGTGCTCTCTGTTTATTTTGTTTTTACTTTTTAACTGTGCATCTGACTGTTCCTACACACGTGAGGAACTTCTGAACTTACAACCCACCGTTCCCATGGACCTACTCCCTGTTGTCTTGGCATCTGCGGCTGATTTAGTTCATGTTTTAGCCAAAAAAGTGAGGACCCATAAAAGAGGGAAACGCAGCGGGGTGCTTGTGCGTCTGAGGAGGATAGGAACGCGCACGGCTCTCCCCGGCATTTTCCTCTCAAACGTTCGCTCTCTGGGCAATAAGATGGACGAACTCAGCCTGCTGATGAGAAGAAACAAGGACTTTGCCTCATCCTGTGTCCTCTGCTTCACTGAGACCTGGCTAAATGAGCGGATCCCGGACTGCACTCTGGAGCTACAGGGCTTTGATTTGTTCCGCGCATGCATGGAATCTACAGACTGGGACATTTTCAGAGCTGCTTCAGACAGTTTGGATGATTACACGGACACTGTGACGTCATATATTCACTTCTGCGAGGATAGCATTATTCCAACAAGGACCAGGGTCATCTACAACAACGACAAACCCTGGTTCACTGCTAAACTCCGGCAGCTCAGAAAAGCAAAGGCGTCTGCTTTCAGGGAGGGGGACCGCAGCGGCTACAAGGCAGCTAAATATCAGTTCAGGAACGAACTGAAAGCAGCCAAGTCCCGGCACAGAGAACGATTGCAGGAGCAGTTTGGAAACAACGATACTGCGTCTGTCGGGAGGGGCCTACGGGAGATCACCAACTACGAGCCCAAAGCCCCCCTCTGTGCTGACAACCACAAGCTTGCTGATGACCTGAATAGGTTTTTTCAGCCGCTTCGATGCTGCCCCGGACATCTCCCCCATCCCCCATTACTCTAACGACCCACCCATCAGCTCTGCCCCCACCCTGACAATAGCCTCAGAAGACATCAAACGACTCTTCTTGTGGCTGCACCCCCGCAAAGCCCCTGGCCCAGTCCATGTGTCTCTGGCCACTCTGAGACACTGCGCCAGTGAGCTAACTCTGGTCTTCACTGACATTTTCAATACCTCACTGCAGTCCTGCCATGTCCCGGCCTGCTTCAAATCCTCATTCCTCATCATTGTCCCCGTCCCGAAGAAGCCCAGGATCACAGGACTCAATGACTACAGACCTGTGGCACTTACGTCTGTCGTCATGAAGTCTTTTGAGGGCCTGGTCCTCTCCCATCTCAAGTCCCTCACCTACCCCCTCCTGGACCCCCTGCAGTTCGCCTACAGAGCCAACAGATCTGTAGATGACGCCATTAACCTGGCCCTCCACCACATCCTACAGCATCTGGACTCCCCGGGGACCTACGACAGAGTTCTGTTCGTGGACATCAGCTCTGCCTTCAACACAATCCTGCCATCCCTGCTCCAAGACAAGCTCTCCCAGCGCAACGTGCCCGATTCCACCTGCAGGTGAATCACTGACTTCCTGACAGACAGGAAGCAGCGAGTGCGTCTGGGGAAGAATGTCTCGGACTCTCGGATTATAAATACAGGAGCCCCACAGGGCTGTGTTCTTTCTCCCCTGCTCTTCTCCCTGTACACCAACCACTGCACCTCCAGCCACGACTCCGTGAAGCTGATCAAGTTCGCGGACGACACCACCCTCATTGGACTCATCTCCAACAACGATGAGTCCGCCTACAGGAGGGAGGTGGACCGGCTGGTGTCCTGGTGCAGTGGTAACAACCTGGAGCTGAACGCCCAGAAGACAATGGAGATGATTGTGGACTTCAGGAAGATCACAGTCCCCCCCGCCGTCACTTTACTGCCCCTCATACGTCACTTTACCTCACTGTACTGCTGTCACCTTACATTGTGTGCACCACGTGCACTGTATATTGTATATAGTAATTGTAATTCTATTTTAAATTTTAGTGTTTCTTATTCTTTATTTTTTATTATGCCCTCTCTACCCTTACCTCTCTTTCTGACTGTTGCACCGAGCCAAAGCAATTTCCAACTCTGTGACTTCCTGTTACTTACGTGGCAATAAAAATGATTCTGATCTGATATTGGATAATTTTCAAAAGCACACCAAACATGATCTCAAGGTACACTTCACGTGCGTGCCAAGGCACCGTAAAACACTGGTCAAGACAGCTAAAAATATTCCTTCCAAATATTAAGAACAGGCAATTCTGCAACAACCAATCTATTTACAGTAGTTTGGATACATATTGTGTTAATCTTATTACCTGATGTTTGGCCCATTGGGTCTTTTCGGTGGTTGCCAGGAAATTGCCAAAAAGGATTCTGTGACAGGCACTATGTTCAGCGGAGCAAGACCTTGAGGTACAGTGGGCAATGTCGTTGCCAATGTTGGAAGGCTTTCAGTGCACCCTCCAACAACTCCACCTCCAGTGGAACATGCCAACACACTGACATTGTAGTGTGTGAAGGGAATGAGCTCTGTCACTGTGATGTTGTAATCAGAAGCATTATTAGTGTCATGAACAATGCGAAGATCTTGGAGGCGAATCTCATATCTGTGAATCTCTCCATTAGGGATCAGAGGGGGCAACCACGAGACCTGAAATAAATATCAACAACAAAGAGAGATTATTACATAGAGTGAAATAACAAAAAGAAAATTTTCTTCCTCAGATTTCAAGCACAAGGACAGTCCCCGTGCTCCCCCGAGTCCCAGTAGGTGGCCAGTCCCTGTGCTCCTGAGGGCACGGTCACATAGGTTTTTACAAACGAACTAGGCCAAGTGGCCCGGATCGTGAAAACGGCCCACGGTCACATGAACGTATTGTCTGAACCGTGCCAGGGAAATTGTGCTGTAGTACAACACTCGGTCCAGCTGGTGGCGCTAATAATAACACCAGAGACCACCTCGTTGCCCTGGTTGAGATCCGCTTCTTTTCCTGTTTACATTCTGCTACTGTAGCTAACAGTTAACAGCTACAGCTACTGTAGCTAACGGTTAACAGCTACAGCTACTGTAGCTAAAGCCTAGTGTATACTTGCGCGGCGCGTGACGTCACTTGCGCAACGTGTTGGTCACCGCAAGGCCCTTACGTTGCCTGCCGCGCAGCATAAAAATGTTCTAACTACGTAAGGGTCGCCGCAAGGAAGCTCCGCTGTGATTGGTCCGTGTGTGTGTATTGGAAGGAAGCACGGAGCGGCTGCAGGAGCGAATGCCGCGGTCAGATGGCACCTAAAGCCCGGATCTAGTCGCGAAGCGGGCCCTGGCACACTTTGACCGGGCTTTTGGCTGCGCATGTGACCGCAGCCTCAGAGAGAGTTACAACTCACATGTCACAGGTGTACTAAGAAGACACTAGCACAAAAGCAGAGCTTAAAGTCTATTCCCCAAGCCTTAGGAAGCTAGTGCAGAAGCCTGAGGAACAGGACTAATGTGATCGTACTTCCTGGTTCTAGCCAGGACTCAATGTCTGCTTGTTTTATGCTTGATAAAGTCCACAGCCTTGGCTAAAATGTTATTATTTTACGCTACTCTGCTCCATTTCTGTGAGGAAGAGACGTAAAGAGTTTATACACTGTCCCCAAATGTTTCTCTTCATAGAGACCGAACTATTTTAACAAGATTGTGGAAAGTTGCAGAAATAATGGCTCTCATTTTTCAGTACATAACTTATACAAACAACCCTATGGGCTAAATGGAAATTATTTCTGAACATGCGTAGTTAGATAATAAATATAATACTGATATGTAAAATGTGAATGCTCATGGCCATGTGACAACAAACTGACATGTAACCAGCTGAACAGTTCACGCTTTACTCAGAATTAACATTGTAAGTGATTAAGTGGTCCGTGTTGATGAGAGCATTATGAATGAATGTCAAGAATAATTATTTTCCATATAACCTTGATATTCATTTAATAAGTGACACTATGAGGTGATACAGACACACACACATACCCGCACACTCACACACAAAATTACATATGGGCAGGGTCATGTTGAGTTAGGTAGCTCATTTCCCAAAGTGCGTGTTGGGTGTGCTTTGTGGTGGAAGTCATTTACAGATTGAATAGCTTGATGTAATCTGGAGATGGTGAAGATAGCAGAGACCCTGGCATGACACAGAGCTTTGAGGCCGTCAAGTATCCTCCTCCATGTGTGAGAATGTGTCTCTAGAGTGAATGAAATTATGAGACGTAAGCCGGAAACTACTGAGTCAGAGTGCTCAGGTGATCAGTTACTAAAACATTAGGAACTGTGCAGTTAAGATTTATGTTATATATTACGTATTGAATATGTTTTATAAGACATTTATCTTCAGGCTAGGATATTTGTTGAAATAATGTCCAGTACTCTTAGTTGTATTAAACCAAAATATATTATAAATATTCACAAAACATAGTTGCGCAGTTGGTGTAACAAACCAAAAGACAATCGAACTTCTATTTTGTCAAGGTCAGTTGGTAACCAGGAACAGGCTGTCTGTCTGTCCAATTAACAACAACCAAGAAGGGACACTTTGCCTATTTGACCCTTGACCCCTAAAGCTGTGCTGCAGCAGAGATGACAGGGGCGGTTCTGAAATGATGACAGGCATTAGCATTTTTCAGCAGTTAGCATTAGTGTGGAGCTGTGAGTGCCTGTGAATGTGTCTGTGTGTATGCATACAAAATTGTTTCTTAGACTTTCATTGATGGGCCTTCATGTAGGATTATCCTAATTCTGGCCCCTCCTTCAAAATGGCGGACAGGAAGGAAACTCTCAGACAGGGTCACAGCCCCTCCCATTTCCTGAAGGGGACCTTGAGTATTTTCCCCTTCTCATTAAATCACCAAATAGAAAGATGAAGAACATCTATGACATTGCTTTGTCTTTTCTCTTCTCTTAAACTATGTGAGTGGCAATTGTGTAATCCTTCAAAAACAAAACAAAATGTGACAAACTTAAAATCTAAGCGTACCTGAAGTAACTCCGGCCCTAAAACACTGACTCTAGGAGGAGTTAGACCAGCAGGCCGAGAGGGGCGAGTTGTCATATTGACCCAAGGCCCTACAAAGTAAAAAAAATAAAACAATGATTGTTATTGATTTGTGAAAATTAATTTTGTCATCAGTCATATAGGTATAAAGAAATTGCATTAATTAAGAAACCGTGACCAACCAGTTGCTCTTCCTGCCTGGTTTTGAAGAACCAGGCGATACTGATACCTCGTCCAGGGACTGAGAGCTGATGAAGAGTCCAGAAACGAAAGAGGAGGAGGATTTGGTGACAGATGAACGACAGTAGAAATCTGATTTGTACCAACAATACTCCTTTCTATCGTCCATCTATGTTAAGAAACACACAAAACAATGGTCAAAATTGGTGGAACTCAAGTAGAGTAGAGTTGAAGTTCTTAAATATTTACCTTTCTAGAGGGCCATTTCTCCTCTTGGGGGCCCCCCAGGACAAGAGCACAGAGGTGGGTGTAGTTGAGACCACATGTGGAGCAGGCACACCTTCTGCAGGTGCCGGGAGAGTGCGAAAACTTGAAGAAATTCCAGATATATTGCACCCCACAACAGTGCATGCTTTAACCTACAATGGCATAGCATATTCATATATTGTTCTACATACAATAGAAAAGCACATTTTATCTACCTGTATCCTGTAGTTTGTGTATGGGAGAAGGCCATGAAAGGTGTAGCTAGTGCTGTTTCCATGGACAGTGACTATTACGATAGAAGAGTTCTCATGCAGAGACAGAACAGAGGTCAAATCTGTAGAAGAGGCTGTGAGATTGGACAGTATACCAAAGTTGAGCTTGGTGTTACTTTTTTCAGTCACGTTCATTAAAATCCCTGCACTTGAATTCAGGAATGCTGAGGTTTGTGATGATTTTGTAGATTCTAATCTTGGCCCGGTAGTTTCATTCCAAGTAATGTCTGTTTCAGTTGTTGAAGAGTTCGTTGGAACCAGAGAGGTAATATTTGAATCTAATGTAGTTTCTAACTCACTGTCAAAACTTGTGTAAAGGTAGAGAGTGTAATTCATGATAATGCCATTTGGTTCTAGGGGTGTGGCCCATGTAAGTACTGCACTCCGAGGATAAAGGCCTTGAACAGTTGGTAGGTTGACAGTCCCTGGTTCTGCAAAAATAAAGAAAAAGACAAAGCATTTGTTTATTCCTGTTGAAACCAGACAACACTAATCTGTACGACATTCTTAGAATATTTTTCTCCGTCACAAGACCAGGAAAGGAGCCACCCAAACCGAGAGTATGTAGGGGAGCTTATTTAAGGTCCTCCTGAATTTACATCACCTTCATAATGGACACACACATAATAATGTCCAAATACTGTACATAGACACTCACTTTTGCCTAACCCATCCACACGTGCCCACCTTGCACCCACAGCGCTGCTGTATAGCGGTAATGGTTCTGTGTGAAGGGCAAGCAGATCAAGGTGACTGAGCGGACTGAGGGAGCGTGCTGCGTCGCTAAGTGCTACCGCTAACCGCTAACGGCTTTCCCAGATGGCAAAGTGTGTGTGTGTGTGTGTGCGTTAAGACTAAAAGATGACTAGCAGCCGGTTGTACATGAAAGAAGTGCAAGCCCGTATGTGAATGTTTATGTTAAATAACATTTACATAAGGTGCTCATTAAGAGTCTTAGTTGCAGATAATCCCCAAGTAGCATTAAACTAATGGACAGCAATATATACTAGTTGTTTAAAACTTAGCAAGTTTGCCCAGACCTGAACAGTGTGAACACCCGAGTGTATCAAAACATTTAATAGGACAGATTGTTACCAAGGTTTGCTGATGTAGAGCATCACAAAAGTGTTTCTATCACTTGTACGCTCTCCTACAGAATTCTTCATGATCTGTTCTTGTCCTTTTTACATTCTTTCTCCAGTCGCCCTGCTAAATAAACAATTCACAGAGTTGACCTTTTGGGTTAACAGGTTTTTATGCCAGCTCTACTCAGCACTCACACTGATTCAATTACCACCAAAGGTCCACTGAACCCCAGGAATAATCTGTCTGCCTGTCGGTATATGCATCTATGGTTTGCATAAAAGTATTTCTGTATATTCCTGTTTCTTGTGACTATATGATTGTACATTTACTCTGTTGTATTTCCAAAGTAAAACTAAGATTGAAAATACAAACAGGTTGCTTTGATTGCACCACAACAACATGCCATATTGTTACCCCATTCTTTCATTCCTTTTGTCCTCTCTCCCCCTAGACCACCTCTCTCTCTAAGTGCGAGTGTTATTTAAGCTTTACTGGCGCGTGTAAAATTCTGCAATTTGAAGGGCTGTTAAGTTTTTCAATTGAAATTTTCATTTAACATGCAGGTGATGGTTTTCTATTTTTTCCGTTTTTACTGAAGCATTACCGAGCATTCAGGGGACATGTGGCAAACTCACATTTTAGTACAATCCCTTGTTACTCAATGCTACTTTCAAAATCCGGCTACATCTGTCTATTCTAGGCCCTGAACATCCATCTTTTCTCCACTCCCTGTATACCGCTTGTCCTTGTTCCCTGCCTTCTGAGCGAAACACCGTAGCTGGGGTCTAAACTACAAGTGCAAACCACCAAGCCTTAAATCACATTTATAAGGATTTGGTTAGCATAGTAATAACACAATCAAGTGACAAGGGCCTGGAGGGCAGCGGAGGAAGAATAGTGTGCATGTCATCTTGTGTCTCTCAAAGTATGCGTGTCTGAGCACGTGAATGTGTGCGTAGATCAGTGTGTATCTATGTAAAAATACAATGAAGGGTGTCTCAGAACCTGCGCGTATATGGGACAGTGGGCCTCTGAAGGTGAGTCAAGACTCTAAGTCCTAATAAGGACAAATACAGGGTTCTACTGCCACCAAGATGCTTATGACATGGTTTAAAATGTGTCACGCAATAAGGAAAGAATTAATGTGGCACCACCCACCCACAATTGCTTTATCTGCGTTGTGTCTGAAATAAGATAAGATAAGAATTCCCTTATTCGTCCCACAGTGGGGAAATTTCGATGTTGCAGCGCACATATAGGACAGTAGTAAGAGCACACAGGGAGCACACACAATATATACAAATAAGTAGTAGCTATGTTTCTTAGCTAACATAACTAGCTGTAGATGCTGAAAATGCTTCAATACCAGTCAAAATATATATGTAGTAGTGCAGTTATATACTGTACAGTTAAATAGTGCAGGATAATAAGTAGATAAGTAAAGTGACATGAGGTAAAGTTACATTGTTGTGTGACATTCTGAAGTTGCAGTATTGCACATTGCACATGATTTAAGAATTTACTTAATTACAGATGAATGAAATTTACAGGCTCAGCAGTTCTTATTGTACAGTCTGACAGCAGCAGGAAGGAAAGACCTACGGAACCTCTCCTTCACACAGAAGCAACTGGAATTGACTAAGGTCACTAGTAGGGATGTATCGATTGGATTTTGCCTGCTATCGATATCCGATATACATTTTTCTGCTATGGCCGATAACCGATATTTACCGATATTGAGATTGAGATGATAAAAGTTTGTGCATACTGAATTTATTCCTTTATTTTCCAAATGTTTTATTATTTTAGTAAGAAGTTTTAGTTTATTTCAGTATCACTCTTATTTTGAGTGAAAACTATTTTCAATGCATGTAGTAGTTATAAAAAGCCTGTAGCTAAAAATACAGTAAATATAGACAAGAATAAATAGTCACCAATAATAATTGACAGGATATTAAAAACAAGATAAATAAAATGGTATACATTTCATTGAGATGATTCATAGTTCTGTAATCGAGTATCCACTAGCAAGCCTGAACATGGATTGAGCGATTGGTTTTTTCCACACCGGCAGATGGGGGATTTTTGCACTATTTTCCTCATTGTAATAAACTCCTGCAAGCGAGAAACGCATCCAAATCACTGTCGTGGTTTCTTTCCTTATTTCAGGGGTGCAACAATGAGTCAATTTTTTTCAATAATGAGGAGGATTAGGAAGCGGCTGTTATAGTGACGACAGTGGAGAGTTCTGATCAATAATACAATAAATAAGGCACACGTGTTACTTTAACAACATTTGAGGCAAGAAATGAGACCCTTTGTCATTTTGCTTTATTGTCTGTAAATAATAAAAAATAGGCCGATATCCATATGTATATCGATAAATCGTGCATCCCTAGTCTAGTATGCTAGTATTTAAGTTATGACAAAAAGTACAGCACAAGCCAGTGTTATGACATGGGAGATGGCTTAAAAAGAAGCTATTTTGTGTGACAGTAACATTTCAAAGCTTTTAGTCATTAGTTTTAAAAGATTCTTTGTTCCTTCAGCCATAAGACTGCACAACAGAGTTGAACATGTGCACTATTGTTTGTTAGTTAGTTAAAAGCATTTATATTGATGTACTGTGTTTGTATGGATAGACACCAGAATTTCTCATACGGGGATCCATATATACAGTATCTATATTTATAAATTTCATTTATTGATGCATTGTTCATGTCCTTATGTCTTTTTGTTATTATGGTATTTTCTGCGGGAGTCTCCCCTCTCTTGGTGCGATGCCTATAAGGTCCTCCACACACATCTCACAGCGACGGGCCGACTCTCAGATCACTTAGTGGGTGTGAACATGGGAGTCGACAGAGGAAAGGGAGCTGTCCAACACCGCCAGAGTTTATGTTCACAGGATCTGTCCATCTGTTCTTCAGCCGCACAAATTCATAGGCACCAAATTACATTAAATAGATAGGCATAAAACATTAATAGAATGGCATGAAGAAAAGGAGAATACCCATCGCTCTCATTCTATTTTCATCAAACATCGTCCCTCCCTATTTTAGCTGTCAGCCTCCTTTTACCTTCCACATTCGACTTTGTGCCTTTATCAAAGGTGGTTTATTAATGTGTTTAAGGCATTACATATTTGCAAAAAATACAAAGTTCATTGTAATACAAGTATGTCAACCTTTCCACTGACCTTCTCGAACCTAAGTCTGTATTGAATGACATGTCTAAAATGCTTCCTAAAATTGTCGCTTTTAGTAGGCATAGGGATTAGGAGAATTCAGTGCTTCCTGTCACAGCAGTGATGACAGGTGGTGGACAGGTTTTATGGTGACAAATTACAGATCAATGTAAGGAACATCCAGTCCACTTGAATGTTTTCCTGTTTGGAGATAAAATTGTGCCACTTTGTGTAATCCCATATAATGGAATACACACTGTAAAAGGTGTTATACCAATTAAAATTAATGACACAATACAGGATTATTAGTCTTGGACGTGTCCTTATGATGAAGGATTATTACAACAACAAACAACAAAAATACTTGAAATTGACTTCATACAATTTTCAAAATATATTTTATAGAACAATGATTTGTAAATCAATCAATCATATCCCGACCTAAACGTAATGAGGTGTACCCAAATGCTGTACGTATATGTCAAATACACAGAATGCATGTATACATGAATGTCTCTAATGCATGTAGATCTCATCTGCTTAATGATAATATATGTGATAATAGCATGATACTAATGAATTTATAACTTAGCACTGAGGAGGCTGTTCCATTGGCTAATATGATTCTATTACACCAATTAGCCCGCAATGACACTGGTAGGTCACGCCAATACTGATGTACCTTCTATTTTCTTCTATCTTATTCAATTCTATTTTATCTTGGAACAAAATGTCTTTTTACTGACCAACATATATTTTGTGTTGACTACTTACTGTCCTCTGCGGTTTGGAAAGTTGTCCAGGGTCCATTGGTCTGACCGTACAGATGTGACACTGTTATACGAAACACATAATCTTTGTATGGTTTCAGGTCATCCACGTGAAAGGAGAAGGTGTCGGAGGCATTTTCTAGTAGTCTTTAAAAGAAAAAACAAAATAGTCCATGCTCATATCACGTTGGTGAATGTATTTTGTACTTTTGATTAACAAAAGTTTTTGTTAATCAGCTTTTGTGCGGAACATGTTTCTTTGTCATGTTACCACACAAAGGAAGCTTGGACAAAGTAAAAGAATATTGCCATAAATGAAGGACCGTTGACCATTTAGCATTAGATGGATAGAAGGGATGAATGAATGAATAAATCAGAGAACAATGAGATTTCCAAAGCCAGAGAGGAGGAGGGCATGGCTGTCTGATATATAATACATGTAGCTAGTCATTTATTTATTACCACAGAATGAGAGCCTCCTCTTCTTGGATTAAATTGCAATTTGTTGTCAGGGAGCATGTAATGAATACATATCAGATGCACACCTTCTCGCTCTCTTTTCTATCACATTTCCTTTGGCTCTCTCTTCCTCCTTTTCCCACTGCTTTGATTTTTTGTCTTTTTGACTCAACCCCCTGCTTCTCCATCTCATTCCCACACTGTTTTTCTGATGTTCTGTCATATTGATGTGACATTTTTAGCAATGCTGCATAATGTGCTCCTATGTGTGTACCATGGACTGTAAGTATGTGTCGTGTAGTCCTATTGTCCTCACATCTGAATGTACCTAATAACGTGTGCCTGTCGTTCATACTGAGGCCGTAATAGTCAGAGACTATTTGCATGTTCTATGTAAAACAACACATGCTTCTCACTTTAACACAGACGCCTGTAAAGATGTCCTCATTTGTAGCCCATACTGAAGAGGACCAGGGCCATTGGAGCGTTCTGGGGCAGACCAGGACAAATTCAAACTGGAACTCGTTGCACTGACCAACTGTGGTGGGGCCAACCCATCCGGAGCTATAAGAAGAGAAAGAAAAAACTTATACTGAACAGCAAAATTATTTTCTTATTACTCATGCTTAATCTTTTATAACTCGTACTTACACTAGTAAAAGTCTGCTGTATTCTAAAGTGCTACAACAACACTCAAAGCATCACTGAAATACATTATAATTAATTGTCGCAACGCAATTCATATGTGAGTTTTTGCAAATAGGCACAAGCGGCATGATTTAGTGAGTGCTGTGTTTGTTATGAAAACAAAGATGTGTAGAAAGATGATATCAAGGGACAACAAATCAAGGAAGGAATGACTAAGAAGCAGTGAACAAGTAGTTAACAATGTGCAATAAGAGCAGGCCCCTCGATGTATAAAGTGACACTCCAATCAAATACATGCCTTTTTTTTCCACCACAAGGGGCTTCTGATTGCACAAGACATCTTCAAACCAAGATAGTTGTCACAAACACTCATGTGCATGAACGCATCTTTTATATAATTCTGAAACAGCTATTTCAATGTTATTTCTGAATAATCATTGTTTGTTAGATAACATTTAAACATACAATGATTTATGTCTAATATCAGTTTGATCTAGAACCACCAAAGAATACGCATGTGGACACATTAAACATAGACTCCAGAGACACACACTGTTGCTGAGTCTGTGTCTATCTCATGCTGTGTTAGCAGGTACAATATCAGAGGTGTCACTAATCGTTTTAAACTATGCACTTTTATGTTCGGTTCGCTCTCCGCGCTCCTCCTCTGCTGCTCCTCTGTCTCATGCTCAGCTATCTTCTCTCTGTTCTTTCATACAACAAGGACACATCAAGACAGTTTGCCTTAAAGAAGTCTAAAGAGATGCCAGAGGCACAGAGGTAGAAAGAAAGATAGAAAGAGGAAACGTCTTGTATTTAAAATTTATACTTTCTTATGCCTTTGTTTTGAACTTGAACAGTCAAACTTTTCAAAGTCTGTTGTTGTTTTCTGACTGAGAGATGGGTGTGGTATTGTCCTGGTTTAAGCAGAAAGGCTTTTTGTGACATTTTTAATTGGTAATTTTAAATTGTACACCCTCACAATTCAGAATTTAAAAAAATGAAAAAAGAAAGAAGGTGTTTGTTTTCTACATGCTTATCTCAATATCATTGAGAAACGTTACAATAACTTGAAAAACTAACCCGCGGGTGGTGTGGTGGTGTTGAAGGGCAGGCTCTGCACACAACCTTGGCTGTTGCATCCTTTGATCCAAAAGTTGTAGTTAGAATAGGGCTCCAGGTCACTCACAGTTAACCAGCTGCCCACCACTGCATTTCCGTCCACTACACCATCACCAACATGGTCTAAAACCAATATAAAAAATATAATCAAAATTAGGAAGAAATATTAGAGTTAATGTTAGTGTTAATTTAATTCTTTGTATTATCATATACAATTAACAAAACAATATATATATGGAGGAAAGGTACATAGAAAGTCAAAAACAAAAGAGATAAAAGGTCCCATATTTCGTTCTTCTTCGGGTTTCACAGTCCATTTTAAGCATATGTATGATAATTAGACTTTGGGTGACACACCATACAACACACAAAACTTTGCCATTTCTTGCATAGAGGTCACGTCACCTCAATTGAAACGGGTAGTTCTGGGCTTTGCCAGTGAAATCACCTCTCCCCACCCGCGCATTGACATAGACGAGACCACAACCTCCCTCCAACTCGGTGACGTAGCCTCACACTGACTAACAGATCTAGGCTTCCTGTTAGCATCTTTTATTGTGGGTATTACACCAGGTTTCAAGATCAGCTTTTTAAGTCCAGTTTCATGGTAATTGTAGTGTTGCTCGCAGAAAAAGATCCTAAGCAGATTTTCGAGACAGATCCCCATGAATGAAGTGGGTGAGTGAGTCACTCATCTTTTGGATACCCAAAGTGATCCCACAATGCTGACTTAAGTCGTTTTTTCAGTGGATAAAATTCTGGGGGAGCTTGTCGGGCCGCTTGTGCAGTGGCTCCCGAACCAGCTGTAATCTAAAATCCAAACGGGCTTTTGCAATTATTGTAAAATCGGTTAATCTCGGCAAACCTAGTCGTCACATATACCAAAAACACATCAAGTCACATGATGTTAACACTAATAGTTCGCAACAGGATCCGTAAAAACAACAGAGTTCGATGTGAAGTGAACAAACAGGGGTGGACTCAGGACTCGGGAGAGTGGCTGCGTTGATTCAGGCACATTTGTGGGCGTGTCTGTTTTAATTTCTTCCTCTGTCAATCACTGCTGAGCGCCTTCTCCTGCTTGGTGCTACGTCATCAAAGTGGTGCCACGTCATTAAATTCTCTCGAGAATGAGAGAGAAAGATCACTCTCTAACTAAAGCTTGAAGGAATCAATTAAAAAAACTACTTTGGTCATGTGTATGAAGGTCAAATAATGCTTTAATTGTGTTTAAATCATAGAAAAGTTGAAAAGCCTAATATGGGACCTTTAATAATAACAAACTTTACCAAAACCAATGATTCGTTCATGTTACTTTTTTCTGAAGACACTCCATGCTTTACCTTTGTTTTTGTAGAACAGTGTGTAGGTAATATTCCCATTTGGTCTTGTTGGGGCAGTCCAGCGGACTCGGACTGATCGTGAGCTGTGATTAGTCAGCTCTAGAAGTATGGGGCCCTCTGGAGCCATTTCCAATGTATGAACCTCCGTCTGATTGAAAGGAACGAGAAATATTACACACATGCACATTTTCAGGATAAGATCAAATTTATTGATCTCACAACGGAGAAAAGATGCACAGAAAATGAATATATAAAACAATAAAACAACCCCCAGGAGACAAAGTTGAAAAAGTATATTTCACAAAAACCTAAGTACAAAAAGACAAAAATATTCTATCCTTTATCCTATATCAACAAATGACCACTCTGCTCTTCCCTGAGTTTCACGTCAGTTTCCTATTTCAGGCCTTTCCTTGCTTTAAGCATTTGTTCTATCCCCAAAAATATCTGTAATCCCTAAACACCCACAATTTCTATTTCTGATTCTATTTCTCTCCATTTCCCATCTATGCTATGTCCTCTCCTCTTTTCACCCCCTCATCCTGTCTCCTCCTCCCTCTTTCCACCTTGCTCTACTCTTGTTCTGCTGCATCAGCTGGTCTCACTTTTTGACTAAATATGGCTTCTGTATTGGAAAAATGCCCCAAAATATGGCCTGTCGTCAGAGACATCATTGAGTGCAGAGTGGCATTTCCATCCAAATGTCACAGTTGCCACGCCAGCCCTCATTATTGAGCTGTGTGAATCGATCACCTTTATGACACCCAGTGACACACGCATGCCCCACATTTTCAGAATATTGCACAGAAGCAAGGGCTAAGATTATCATATTTATGATTAAATAAGCAGTTATATTTGTAACTCACTAACCAGTGGTCCTTTTCCACAGCCCTGTGCAGTGCAGGCCTCTAAGCGGAGAACATGTTGGCTCCATGGAGAAAGTCCCTCAACCACAGATAACCTCTCGGACGAGCTGGTGTTAAGGAAAAGGGTTCCATCCAGCCAAAGAGCATAGCTGGTAATGACACCTGACAAATCAACAAAGACTGTTACGATCTTCATGACAAACTTTATTATACCAGAACAAGGATAAAGATAAACTTTATTGTTCTCACAGTGAAGAAATGCACATGTCAGATTTGGCATAGATAGAATCACTGTGCAAAAAGACATGAAGTTTGCAAACATGTTATAAGTTAAAAATATAAAGCGAGTGCCTTGAGAGCCTGAACAAAAACTTTATAACTAGGGGTAGAATTTTGTATATACACGCAAAACAAAACCTTCTTCAAATTGACCCAACTCAATTTTGATCTGAGCATGAATCTGCCTAATTACTGAAAGCTAAATTGGCGTTTTTAGGCCAATTCTTTGTAAAGATGTCTTTTCATAGATCACACGCTAGTTATAGGGAAAACTATACAATAATAACTTGTCCATGGGGCTTTTTTTATTTTTTATTTTTTTACAATAAGACAAATTAATAGGTTTAAGGGAGACAACATCGTCCCCTTTTGACAGATCTCCAGATATTGAGGTCCATACACAAAAGGATCCCAAAGGAGGCATGAGAAGAAACATGCAAAAAGAAAG